AGGAAATACATCAACATAGGGTTCATAATTATCCACACTAATCATAATACGTTTACCATAATCACGACGCGTAACAATAACTTCATGATCTTGTCCATTTGTTAAATCATATGGAACATTATATTCAAATGTATCAAACCCATAATTAAATTTAACACGTACACCACCGTTATTATTCATTTCAAGAGTAAAATAATCGGTCATACCTTTTTCATCAACTTTATCGGATTTCAATTGTATTAATATACCTTGTTTTTTATAAGTTGTAAATAGAACACGAATAGTTTCTTCTTCAGTAGCCGTTACACCTTCAGTTGGAAATGTATATTTAATCATTGTATTTGCTTCAAGTCGTGTTCCAATTTCTGTTGCACAGATCGGTCCACGAAATGGTGTAAATGTACAATCACAATCATATGTTGACCAACGTTCATTACAACGTCCACCGTTTAAACAAGGATTACTTTGACATTTACCAATACAACCTGGTGATATACCATACATTCCTTGTAATGCTTGATATTTTAAATCCATTAATTCACCATTAACTTGAAATGCTCGTATACATCCAACAAAACCATTTCGATTTGTTACAGATGCACCAATAGTTAAATTTGATGTCAAACGTATATGACGAAATGTTGTTTGATCTTCAGGATTAGCAGCTGATAAACCATCGACTGTTAAACGGGCTTCTTGTCGATTAATTTCTATTTGAACTGTATGCCAATCATTATCATTAAAATCATAGGGTGCACGAATTGTTACGATATTTGTTCCACGACCAACACTATATCGAAAAGCTATTTCACGTGGTGCTTGAAGGCGAATCTTTAAGAATAAATCAAATTTTTTTTTGTTTAAAATAATTAATTACAAAAAAGAAATATTTACTTCAATAAGATCTCCATCATCATAACCAATATTTTGTACAATAATAGCTGAACCAAATGTTGCTGAATCAAATCCAGTTTTAAATTGAAAACGAATATCACCAGCGATTTTAGCTTCAAATGGTGGTACAGTTATAATTGCATCGGCTTTACGAAATGTAATTGTATTATCATATAATAAATCACCTTCGCATTGAAGACGACCAACTTGATATCGACCATATTGTTGTGAATTAGCTGCTCCTTTAAAATATTATCAAAAAATAAAAATAAAATTTTACTAAATGACAAAAGTTAAGTATGTTTTTTTTAATTACCTGTATCACCAAATTCAACTCGAAGAACAGGTAAAAATTCTTTTCGTGTTAAATATCCTGCATCTTTAAGTTCAGTTGTAAATTGAGAATCACAATTACAAAATAAATTTGGATTAGCACATGTCATATCTAAACCACAAGCACATTTGCCTGTACCAACTTCACTTCCACCCCAATAATCCATTGTTTGATTTGTACGACCAACCCACCAACCATATGGTGTATTAGGATAATTTAATAGACGTGAATTAAAACATGTATATTCAATATATTGTTTACATACATATGAACGATCAATAACAGCAAATACTTGTGGTAATGGTACACGATAATTTATTGTTTGAGAATAAAGTGAATTAGGTATTTGATAACCACTTGATACATAACTTTCTAATTCATGATAATGACCGATTTCAGTAATATTAAGAGAATCAGATTTAGCACCATAACGACATAGAATAGAAAATGGAGCTAATGGACCACTACCATCAATATCAATTGTTGTTAAACGTTCAGGAATGACTTCATCAATTTTCATACGATTTATTTTATAATCCAAACATGATAATGGATTATCACTGATATGACATACAGCACCACTATAACCTGTATTGGAACAATCACAACGAAATCTAGTCCAAGTTTGATAACAAATTCCTCCATGACGACATGGATTTGGTGTACAACGATCGAACATTTCACATGCATCAACAAGTACACCATGATTAATAACTGTTCCAGTTCTTGGTCGACTATCACCTTGATTTAAAACAGTTAAATTATTTATCAAATCTCTTGGTAATATTTGTATGCCACTCATAACTAATTGTCTTATACAACCTACAAAACCATTCATAGCTGTTTCACGATTTATTTGATCGCCATTTGTACTAAATGTATATCGATCAGTTGTCGATAAATTATTACGTGTAAATGAGAATTCAGGTTCGAAATCAACTGTGATATTAAAACGAAATTGTGTCAATAAAAGACTTATTTCATGCCATTGACCATCATTTAAATTATCTAAATTTGTATCATAAGAAGAAAAACAAAATAAAATTTAGAAAAAAATTTTACCTCGACGATGACGGACCGTACGTTTATTTCCATCTAATTGTACTGTGCATGCTAATTGTCCTTCATCAAGAAAAAGCTAAATAAAAAAAAGATTAATTTTTTTTATGAAATTTCGTTTTTCTTACTCGTAGAAAATCTTGATCAGGTACATCATTAATACCAATCATTAATTGTCTTGGTTCAGATAAATTTGTATAAAATAAAATTCCATTCGGTTCAAATGTACGCATTTGAAAATTTAAATCAATCGATGTTGCACCTGGTTTACGAAATATTTCAAGATAAGAATCAAATGTTTTAAATGTATATGGATGCATATTCATTGAATCATCCTAAACAATAAATAAGTGATTATTTATTAGACATAAGCATGTTATAAGCAACTCAGAAAAAGAAAATATATTTTTATCATGCATAAGCACAGCAGCTGCAGTTATTGGCAGAAAAAAAATGATAACAACAGATGGTTAAGGATATATTCATTCTTTTTTAACTTACTTGTTGATCTAAATTTGAAATAATTTTATAGTTTTTATTTTTAATATGACAAAAAAATGAAGAGAAGAAGATGAAATTAATATTTAACTTACTTCACACATTGCTCCCGAACCGACCATTCCTTGTTCAAGACCATAGAATGGATTTTGTCGTTGTAAATTTTGTAATATATCCAAAATAGAATTTGTTGATGGACTGACATAGAGCACATTTTCAAGACAACCTTGAAAATTAGGTCGAACAGTAATACCACGTTCCATATGATTCGGTACTCCACCAACGTAAAGCTAATGAGAAAAAGAAAATCATATATTAATAATTTCAACAGGTAACAACGAAATATTTTTACCTTTCCATCAAGATCTAAACCAGTAAATGCACTTTGTGATTCTTCCTGTATAACACTTTGATCAATTTTAACCGAAATATTTTTCATGTAACGTATAATAGCTAAATCATGCCATTGATAATCATCTAATACACTACCCGCTTGAATTATTGTTGAACCTGGACGTCCCGGCATAGAACCTAAATCAACTCCAACAAATATACTTCCATTACGAAGTTCAACATTTAAATAATCATTATTTTGTGTTCCTTTTGCATAAAATAAAACTCCATTCGGATAATTTGTTTTAAAACGTAAACGTAATTCATCTTGTTTATTATGTAGAGGAATAAACGTCGCATCATAATAAGCAATAGTATGTCCATCGAAATTAAACGATGAAGATGCTATGAAAAGTTAGGCAAAAACAAAACAATTTTCTAAATATAATAAAAATTAATATTTCATACTGAATGGACAACCATAAACTTCAACACGCATCGAAATAAAATTATTCCATTGTCGTGGATTAAAACGTACATAACGTGTAATAACTGGATCTGACAGATTATTCCGTACAATACCATTATCATTTTTATTACCAACAAAATTCTAAAATAAATGAAATTTATTTTTTTTTAATATATTTTTTATAAAATTAACTAACCACAATGATTTTATCTTCATTTGTATAATAAAACCAATTATGACCATTATCAGAATACATTATATTATATATTGTTACGTATTCTTTGGCTGCACGACGGCCTTGTGTTGAAACACCTGTAACATAATATCGAGAACCAAGATCAATATATAAATATTGATCAGCATCCATATAAGCAGGTCTCCAAGCTATAAAAATATATATTATGAAAAAATACGAATTATTCGAATAAACAAACCATAGCGAGCATTTAATCGTGCCGTATATGGTTCACGACCTTGTACAAAAGATGATGCAAAAAATGCTGTATTAGGAATTTTACTCGATTCAACACCTAAAGCGGGTGGTTTTTTACAAGGACTATAAAGATCTGCTGATGTAAGACCATTGGCTACTAAAAAAATCAAGTCTGAATTTAAAGAATAATAAATAAAAATAAAACGAACTAGAAATGAAATGTAGAAAGACAACAAAAGTAATTAATTGCACGGACGAAATGGTTGACATAATTTAAATGCTGGTTTTTATTTAATAAATAATTAAGATCGTTTTAATTATCACGATTTGATCATGATAAAAAATAAGTTAAATCGAACTAAGATAAAACTTCTTTTTTTTCCTCTAAAAATTCTTTTTCTGACATGGACAAGGTCAATCATATATAACTGACCGTTTTCCTAATTATTGATTGGTTATAATTGTCTTTCTTTATTTTCGGATTAGTCATATTTTTCTATTTAGAAAAAACAGAACAAGGTCATGATGTCGCTAGTATATAGATCATTATAATTTATTCTTGATTAACTTGTGAGAATAACACAATTAATAAAAACATAAAAGATATATAAAAAAAGATTTCGTGATTGAATGAGACATAAAAATATTTACACGGAGCAAAAAATACGAAGTACATGAAAGATTTAAAAAATCACAGTCGATACAGAGACCGAGATCAGAAAAAAAACTTTATACAAGATTGTAGTTTTAAACTTATTCTTGTAGAAATTATTCTTTCTCAACCAGTCATCTTTGTAAAAATTGTTAGAATTTTCGGTTAAAGTTTTAACATAAAATATATTGTCTGAAATGAATTGAAAATTCAGAACACTTGTGTAGTAATTGAGTAAACTTAAAGTTACGGGACCAAGATCAAAAAAAGGAGATGGTTCATTTTTGCAAAATATGATCTTGGCTATTTAGTATAATTTTAAATGAAACTACTGCATCCAAATCGATGCAGTGATCTCATCTGTAGACCACGCGTCTGGAACTGGCCATTCCTATAAAAGACAACTGTTTTATAATTAGAGATATAATTATATTTACTGTAACGATTGTTGGCGTTCTCATATCATTGTTAATAAATGGAGTACGCAGTGATGGTGGATCTGAAGTTACATTTTGACTGAATTGAAACTGATTATTATGTATTGGATATTGAATGGGTAGGAGATTTGGAATTACATTTTGGCTGAATTCAAATTGATCACTACGTGATGCAGATTGAATGGATAGTTTTGCTTTGTGGGCAACTTCTTCGACAGTCTGTGCAGTACTAATTGTCGAAATTAATAATAGTTTTTTTTCAGTTTGGTCCGCCATGAGATTCTATTATATAAATTGAAATATCTTTTAAAAAAAATTTATTATAATTACCGTGTGACGAACCAAATATTATTGTAGTATGATTATATTGAATTAAATGTTCTATATTTTTTAACGAAAATAATTATGGCGATAAGATATTAGTCAATGCATATATATATATACTCACCTTTGTCTACTCTCCCATTGTGGAAGAAATCGAAAGAAAAAAAAGAACTTTTTTTATTCTTTTCTTTACATTCAGTAAATAGAGATTATTGAAAGAATAATGTATATTAACGACAGAAAATAGATTACTCATAATCCAAATCATTAAATGTTTATTTTCTATAGAATATAGTGCCACTCAAGTATTATTTTAAAATAAAACAGTTATAAAATATTAAAAGAGTCTGTCTTGATCAACAAGATGATCTTCTCTTCCTCCTTCTGTTTACTAAAAAATCACTATGAAACAAAATTCGTTTTTTTTATTACTCACATTATTATATACCCCGAGGATACACATTCAGTAAGATTACTAATTACAGATGCATTTCTTTCCTTGTTTGTTAACCTGATTTTTGTTAAGTTTCAACGAATATGATACAAAATAATATTGACTAAAGTTATTAAAATATTATATTTCTTGTAAAATACTAAAGCATGATAAATTGAAATATGTAATGTCTATTTATTTCTTATACAAATATATGATCAACAAAATAAAAATTTATAAATATCATGAATATGATTGACTCTTCTTTTATTGTTATCATTTTTCTCACTGCCTAATCATGTTTTTGACTTTATAAAACAACTTTACAATTATCACACAATAAAAGTACAAATATGTCGATTTATCATATCATTCATAGCATTATAACAATATTTTTATATTATTATTATAAAAAAATTTCTGGATTAAACATACATTAAAATAGAACAAGCAGAATAAAATAAATTTAAATAGATACTAACTACGGACAACACAACATTCAACATTAAAAGTAAAGCAATTTTGAATCACCATATCACAGAGAAATATACACAAAAAAAATAAAATAAAACAAGTGGAAAGGATTTTATAAAAAAAACAAGAGATTTGATATATTGGAAAAATAATCAAGCATATATTATAACAAAAAAAGAAATGGAAGAAAAAAAAATTGAGACTGTGCACACCGGTACGTACAAGTTATCTAGTCATCTCAGTCATTAATTGGACAGATAAGAATTTGGTTTGCTAAATCATCGTAATATGTACAGTAATAAATTCATTAAATAAATTTACTAACTGTTAATGCACTGAAATCTAACGGTATCCCCGACCTCTAACAAACTCTGAAGTTCATAAAAATCAACTAACGACTTCATACTCTGACTTTTCATATATATATATATTCACTAATCAACGTTCTATGCCAGTCATCTTTTCAGTTCCTTATTTTTCTCATGATTGATTCATTAAAGTTCTTATCCTGAGATCAGAACATAGTTATTTACAGTGGTAATGTAAGTTATGTACAGTGGTAATGTATGTATGTGTGTGTTGTATCAATCAGATCAAAATAAGGTATCTTCAAAGATTATGGTTAAGAGCGTTAATGAGTGTAAAATTATAGTAAACTACATGTGATACATGTAGTAATACTGAACTGAAAACATGTCCAATACAGATTTTAGGCATATAATCTGCATTGACTAGTGAATAATGTCGTCAATAAACGACAATAATCCTCAACATTTCCTCATATTAGGGGGCAATAGTATAAGAATTAAAACCTAAAAACTAACGTTAATCAACGATAAGTTGAATTCTTTTTAGCACCTTCTGTCAATAAGAAATCTAAAAACAATTAACAAAAATCGAAATCAAACAGGACGCTTTCACAAGTTTTAATTCTTCTACAATCGCTTTGGAGAAATATCATTGCTCGGATAGAACTAGAAATAGCTTGAAATAAATGACATAATTTTTAATTGATTTCAGATAAATAATTATTCTCGAACATTTCTATATAATTCAGAAGGGTTATTTCTTATAAAATTATATAAAATATCTGACTAGTATCTGATAACAAAACAATACAATCAGAGAATAGCATTCATTCATATAATATATCTTGACCTATCCGATACCTTCAAATATGACACATAGTTTTTCAGAAAAAAACCAAGTTAAAATACATAGAAATCATACGGTAATAACGAGATCAGACTAAACACTGCGATACAAGTTTGGAGAAATCTCTATGAGGAATCTAAACTAACTGGAAAAAATTATGTCATTTAAATATTAAGCTATAACTTTTTAGTCCAAAAAGACTCCGTGAATTTAAATCTACTACTGTGGTATGAAATAATAACTCGTGTCTTTTTAGGCTAACTGTACGAAACCAGAGGTTTGTAACCAATGGTGTATTAGGGTTAATGTTGGGAGTATCTGAATTTCAATATCTATATAATTGTATCGTACCAATACGCAGAAAAGAAAAGGGTTTTGCAGCGCAAAGATAGACGCTAAACAAAAAAAGTACATAATTCCTTTATCACTAAAGGAAATTGAAATTTGTTTGGCGAAGGAGGCTTTTCCATTCTTGTGATTTTTATCATTTTTTTTTGGCGAATAAATTAGGATTATTCTTGTAATTTTTTACAATTTTTTTGGCGAAGGAGGCTTTTCCATTCTTGTGATTTTTGTCATTTTTTTTTGGCGAATAAATTAGGATTATTCTTGTAATTTTTTATGTTAATGGTGATTTCAATAACTTCGATCTTTTAATCTGACTGTAATGAAATACACAAATAATACCATACAACAAATAATTTTCCTTTTTTCTACTCACCATAGCTGCATTCGCTATGTCGACAACACTCTGCTGGTTAGATGATTCCAGCTCCTAAAAAAAAAATTAGATACATTTCAATGCATAAGATTATATCGAAGTATACTCCCGTTTCAATGGATAGTGGTATATCCGTCATTGGATCATATGATTGATTCGTCAAATTGTTACTTATCTATAAAAAAACAGTAATTAACGAAAAATTTTTTAAATATTGATAATTCAAAACATACACCCGCAGAACAGGTTGAAGTATATGGTTCGACACGACTTAATATCATCGATAATTCCTATAATATATATAAGAGTGAAATCTAAAGATTTTTCAAAATAAATTCAAAATACTATGTTTGGTGGTAAAGGTTCGGTTGGTAAATCGACAATTTCCAATAATGCCATATTATTTCTTTGCGGTCCCATTTGGCTTAATAGTGCGATTAAAATTTCATTATTTGATGGCATAGCGATGGTCGTGTCTAAATTACTCATTTTGACGAATAAGATGTTATATATGAATCCTCAATGACGGTGATGTTTGTTTAAATTCACTATCTGAAATAGTAATTAAACTTGTTAATTATATTCAATAATAAAAAATAATAAAATAAATCAAAACTATTTTTTTCTATATTCAAAAGGTGACAAAAGAAATATTTTGTTAAAATCAATTTTCTTTTACAAGTCATATAACGCAAGACACAATGCGTTATTTACAGTTTTACATCATTACACATCATTAGATAAACAATAAAACCCATTAAATTTGAATTTTATTATCGGCTTCAGCATAAAGTTTAACAAGTTTACCAAACTTGTGCACTTGGTAGTTTCTAGAATCCGTTCTCTATTTGATTGTTTTATGAATAAAAAATAGTGTCTTGTGATGCAATAGGTATGAGAATTTTTGTATACTTGAAAAAAACTCAAACCACTTGAACGCATGCCTACATGTGATCTGTATGACTCATACATTTATTTTGTCTAATACTCAAGAAAAGTATGTCACTTATTACCTTCAACTCGTCTGCGAAGCGTCTATATCTTGTCAACAGAACTGAAAAATGTTTTTGTCAAGCAGAACATTCTTCTTCTATTTGTCTCCGTTCTCGTGCCTTCTAGAAGGATCGAGATACATGCTTGCTACTTCATCGATTGATACTGGGAGAAAAAAAATTATTATTACACTACGAAAAAACCTGATCATGAACAAGTTATAAATCACTGAGTAACCACAAGAGAATAATAGCTTCTTTTCCTTAGTGATTAGTGTATATAGCTAGTATTTCATATAGTGAATGATACACAATTCATTTCAGTCATATTGAATAACTACTTGAATTTAAAAAAAAGAAACTTTACGAGATACATATCGAAATCAAGTTCTAACATAATAGTAATTACACAAATATACAACAATGTGTTTAACTTAATAAATAACATTCGATACAGTATTCATGTAATTTATACATATAATAACAACGTCCATTATCTTGAACGTTTCTTTGAAGAAAAACATATTTTTAACTTTTTTTCACATAAAATCTGAACCATTCATTAATGGATTGTTTCATTTAATAGATATTTTATTTTTATATAGTTTTAATAATATACAATAGTTAATCAAAATTGAGAGAATTCTAATTATATCTTTCACTTTCAACTTCACAAACTGAAACAATAACCAAAACTGTTACAATAAAAATATCATATTGCAAATTAATAAAAACATATGATATAGAGATACTGTTTGAAAAAGAATACCTTCTTGTGTAGTAGTTAGATTATAATAATCGAAAAAAAGATTTTAAATACTTCTCTCAATGCCGTTAATAAGTAAATATAACTAACAATACTTATGACACGGCGAAATAATATGAAACCCTTTTTTTTACCCAGAATGATTATAAATTATTCGTCCAACACTTCATTATGTGTACCAATGATAAATAGATTTTCAATCAAATACGCCACCTTTATGTCAAATCTGCATACAAACTTTATTGAAGTACTGGTGCGTCAGGTATAATTCACAGACTATGTAATTATCTTTAAGTATTTTACTATCCTTTTCTTTTAAAGACAGACACAAAATAATGTGAACTACTTTTTATCGGATGATTATCTTTATATGTTATATGGAACCAAGATGTTAGAGTATATGAGTTTATCCCTAAGATTGATAAAAATTCTTGCGATATCATTCTCAAATATCTAATTATTTTTTAATATTTAAAATATTTTTATCACAAGAAATGATCATAATGATTTCATCATTTCTAAATAATTCTAAAGTAACCATTCATATAAAACCATGAATCATTGTGGTAATGATTGAGTAATACCAAGTAAAAAAATGTTATTTTTCTATTTTTAAATTTAAAACATGTCTAATGATACAAATGAAAAACAAAATGTAACTAAAAATCCAAGTGAAAATAATCATTTCACTGAAGAGGATTTATGTCGAATAAAGGAATTTCACGTTGGAGATTTACCAAAAAATTCCGGTTTCGTTCGTCCATTTCGAGCCGCATTCACTGATGAACGAAATAATAATCCTGTAAAACGATTATGGGATGCTATCGATGCTCATGTAAGTCATTAAGAATTACATTATAGTCCTTTTTGTCTACTAATTTTATTTAATTATAGAATTCTGTTGTAATTATTATTTACAATCGATCAACTGATTCACTTGTTTTTGTTCGTCAATTTCGTCCAGCTGTTTATGTTATGATCAGTAAAGAAACACAAAATGCTTCATCTATAGATGAAATTGATTTCACAAAGCAAGATCCAAAATCTGCAGTTACTTATGAATTTTGTGCTGGAATTGTTGACAAAAAACACTTATCAAATAAAGAACATGCACATGCTGAAATACTTGAAGAATGTGGTTATTCAGTTGATATTAATTCTATTGAATCAGTAACTAAATATCGAACAGGTGTTGGTACCGCTGGTCCAGCACAAGAACTTTTTTATGTTGAAGTAACAAATGAAATGAAAGTAAATATGGGTGGTGGGAATTCATCAGAACAAGAACGTAAGATAAAGACCGCAACAAAAAATAGATATCGTTTTTATTTATTTATTTATTTATTTATAGTTATTGTTGTACATGAAATTCCTGTTGATGAACTTTATCAATTTGTATTTGATCAAACTAAAGCAAAAGAAACATCGTTAATGTTTGGTATTATGTGGTTTTTACATAAAAAAGGACGATTAACATGAACTATAGTTCAAAAAACATTATAGTTCTATTTCTAAAGAACCGATAATAAAAGATTAAGGAATCTAGATTTATGAAAATATACTAGAAGTCTTTGAGAACAAAATTCAATTTCAAGATTATCTGTTTCGATTGTTGAAATGCTATATACAAAGGTCTTACTTGTATTGCAAAACATGCTATATTAGTATTGTTTGAGTTCGAAAGTTGTTGAAAAATATTTATGGAGAAGATGGGTTACTTTATCAATGATGTCATATTAGAAAATAAATGAATAATGAGAAGACACTCCTCAAACAAAGAACTAATATCTCTTACTGGTAAAAAATACGTTGAAATTAACAGTACATCTTAAATAGAGCATTTAGTTTCTTACATCTCTAGTTTCAGAGATGGTCACATAGAAACGCTGCCGTTCAGTTCACTAAACTAAGATCGACATTTTCCTGTACACAAAGGTACACTTTTCAAATCAACAAAAAGATTTCATATTATTTTTTTTGATAAAAAATAGAACAATCGATAATCGCTTTTTGTGGTCGAATATAAACTCAAATCTGTATTTATTTTAACTAATAATTGAAATTGGTCAAAATAATCCAGCAGGAAGTAAGAATGTCATATTATATCTAATCTAATAATATATTTTCATTGAGAAAACTATACTATGCTTCCAATAGAACCATTTCAATGTGGATCATTGAATTGTCAGTATGGTGGATAAGATGATCTATGAATGATTAAATTATAAAATTACTCATAGTATTCTTAGTTTGATTGAGGGACATCAAGTACGCTTTTTGCTTAATATATAATTCAACTATATATATTACTCATGAATTGATTTGACGCTTTTTTTTTAATAAACATAAAAGTCTAGAGTAACGGATGTTATGAGGGTGTGGGTGTGGGTGTGGGTGTGGGTGTGGGTATTTATTCTTGAAACCTACGCCCACATCTACACCACACCGATACCCACACTCGCACCCTCACACACTCATACCTACACCCATACCCTCAAGAGAGAAGACGTGATATTGTAGGGAATTCTCCATTTTTTTATATAAGAACTTTCAAAGAGAATGAAGAATATAGCATGAATTCCAATTTCTTTGTTTTCTAATGTCAACGATGGTGAGATAAGGGTCTGCTATAATTTAAACTTACGCGTTGAGCAAATATTATTTATAGACTATGTATGCTGCGCTTAAGTTTAATATATTATTTATAGTGTGTTCGTTCTTTTTTTCTTCACAGCACGCACTTTATATAAAATCAACAAATCCACGTTTGAAGAAATAAAACGTTGAAATATCGCATTAACTATCACATTATTTGTTACGGTTAAGTTCAATTCGATTTGTTTTGATTTCTAGCATGTATGAATCGCTCTGTACTATTCTTCCACGTATTAATATAACAATAATGAACAGTAAATATACTAATATGAGGGTGGGGTGTGGGTATTGAAAGAGAAGAATACACACTCCCACACTAAGATCCAAGACTGATTGACAATTTCATTTAGTTCATTTGTTTATTCTAGTCTTTGTATTCAAACATTTTTTCTAATATTACTATAATCTCTGTGCAAGAAAACATTTGAATCATATTATAATTATTATGCTACAAAAATGAAAATTAATCAGAACCTGTTTGTATTTTCAAGAATATCAAATACAAATTTCGATTATTGTAAATAAAGCAAAAATTTTTTTAAATCGTTAAATAATTAATCAACAATTGTGCAATTAACTTGACCATGATTGATTATTTGACAGAGATCATGTACTGCCATGATACGTTCAGTATTGTTAAATCTAATAGAAAGTGTAAAACTCTTAAATTTTCTATCAAAGGTCAACATTTGAACGATATTAGGAATACTGTTAAAATTTAACATACTTAGCAGTAATTATAATTTCTTGTTCATTGGTTGTTTCCGATTCGACGACATTTAAACGTGCTGCACCCAATTTTGCTAAAACTTCACTAAGTTGTGCACCGAGTTCTATAGAAAAAATTAATTTAGAGATTTATGATCAAATCAAAATGTATTACCTGCTGATTTAATAATAAATTTTAATTTAGATTTAGGTGAATCTTCAGACATTTCAATCATTTCTGCATCAAAAAATATAGATTCATCCTAGAAATCAATAAAAAAAATATTCTTAGTTAAACATTTTTTCATTGTAAATTAACTGTATTCTTTGTATTTGTATTTGTGATATATCGATAATCATCATCATTAAAACCAAAAAGATAACCAAGAAAATTTCCAGCATGTTGATAAAAGTTATTAAATTTGTCAGATGGAATTTGAAAAAGTATATTTAATTTTGATAACATATTTTTCCAAAAAGATTCATTATGTGAAACAGTTCTTAACCATGCAAACATAAAATCTCGTTGAAGACATTTACCAATACCAAATATTAATTCATCAATACCGGATTGTGGTTTATTAACATTAAAATCTTCATCAATATATTCAATACTATTAACCATAGTAACCAGAGCAACATTATCATAATAAATAATTCCATCTTCTTTAGTTGATTTGATTTGTGGATGAACATTATTCAATACTCTACACAATTCATCTACAACAATTTGTCGATTTCTTCCTGACCACATATTCGTACAAACAAGTGCACAAAAAATATTTTTTTTATGACATTCATTAATTATCCAAACAAGACGATTTAATAAAGCAAATGAACCAGGTGAAGCACAATATATCATACAT